GAGTCAGGATGTGGGGTGATCACCTGGAGGAACGGGGATGAACAAGACAGGGCAAGAGACACAAGAGACGGAGATAAGACAGGCTTTCTGATCAAGTCTTATTTATTGAGGAAATGAGCAGGGTCTAAATAGCCACGCGGTGGAAATAGCTGGGCAGGACTGGTTGCTAATTGGTAGCAAATGTCCGGGACCACAGGAAGACGCCCAGGCAAGCAGGGATTGGTGCTGTTGCATTTCTTGCCCAAATAAGGGAAAGTGTAAGAGGAAGCGTTCCATCTCCCCCCATGTCCCCCCTTTTTATTAATTACATCAAGCAGGAAATTGACAGTGCCCTGCAGGGACAATGCCTGGCTTGGGTCAAGGACTCCTTCACATGAGATCGACCAGACCTTACCCGTCTTGGGATTGCAGGGCAGCAGTAGGCCCCGTTTCTGCCTTAGGCGGTTGGCGGTATTGCATGTGGGTCCTAGTTGCCCGTCATTGACTACTTGTCCATCTCACCAGGGAGACCTATATCAGATTAGGCCACATTATTATAAGGTCCATTTGGGGGAACCCTCTTGCGATACTCTTGTTGATCTGCCATCTCCAGCTGATATTGTATCTGAATGGGCTTTGCAGCAAAGGCATCTAAACGTGAGCTAATGAAGGATGTAAGCTTTTGAAAAATATAAGGTCCTACCATGAGCAAGAATAAGAGTGAAAAGAGGGGTCCCAATAGGGGTACAAGGTAGGGGAACATCTCTCCCCATAGTGAGGAGAAGGGGTTGTCCGCAAGCTGTTGTCTCCACTTGAGTAGTTGATCCTGAAGCTCCCAAATTTTGTCTTAAACTATGCCTGATTTGTTGGCATAAAAACAGCACTTTTCCTGTAAAGCAAGACATATTCCCCCCTGCTCTGCTGTCAGAAGGTCTAAACCCCTCCTATTTTGCAAGACCACTTCTGCTAATGAATCTATCTGGTCCTGGATATCTTGGATAGTACCAGATAATGCTTGAACATCATCAATCAGCTGATTAGATAATTTGGTATAGGAATGTACTGCTACCCCCAACCCTGCTGTGCCTGTCCCCATGACTGCTGTGACTCCCAGCCCCACTAATAAAGAGATGAACTGGACTGCCCTCTTTGTGCGGCCCACAGCATAATCTAAACTGGGAAGGGGTACAGGATCATTACCAGAGATGACATCTATATCAGGCAATATAATTGCCATGACACACAGTCCTGTGCAGTTGGTAGGTAGGTATGTGAAAGCTAAGTTTCCCCCACATACAAACACATGTCCCTTTTCTTGGCAAATAGGGCTACTGTAGTTAAGTATTTGATTACAGCTAGTGAAAGTAACAAACCCAACATCAACAGTGAAGATAGCATTGTGGAAGCCTCCTTGTATACAGGAAGAATTTTTAAAGGTT